GGCTCTACTGATTAATACCTACAATAAGATAGACTAGTTAGAGTCTATAGTGGAAATCTTAAGTTTATGGAACGTTTTGGAAGATTCTAAAAAGTTCTAGAATGATCTACGCATCTGTCCTTACTATCACATGAAATCGAAATCGTTAAATCATCAGATAGATGATACGAAAATTCTAGATATATTTTGAGACATTTTCATTATCGAATTATTGAGATTAAAGACGCCACATATTTCAGTATTACATTTGTAACGAAATCTTTAATCTGAAGAACGAAAAAAAATGAAGACTTCTTGACATAGATTTAAGGGTTTTGTACTTCTCTATGATAATTCAACAATTCCAGTTTTTTGGAACCGTCGAAATCTATAGATTACTATGGCAACGTACTTAGTCATTGTTGGCCTTCTCCAGGGGAGTCCCAAAAACCTCGATTTAAACTTACACTCATTATTTTCTTCCAAAATATATGTGAGTTCTACGAAAAAATATTAGTAAGTTAAATTTATTTTGTCTTGGTCTGATGATGAGCCATGTTTTGTTTTATAGCTTTATTTACATAAAACAGAAAAGCTTAACAACATAGTTGTTTTATATTTTATGATTTCGAATTTTTCTTTTTTTCTTGTTTTTCACTTGATTTATTTTGTTTATCATTATTTGATTTATCTTTTTCTTCTTCTTCTTCTTCTTGTTCTTCTTCTTCTTTATTGCTATCTATTTCAACATGTTCCATTGATGATCCAACATCTGTTTTAGCTGGTACAAATTTTGCTTTTGCTGATTGATGATGCCAATCACCTGAACTACTTGATGCACTACCACTATTGTCACCATGAAAACCAAGACCTTCATGATGTGTATGTGCAATTTTTGATTGTAAACCTTCCTTAAATTGTTTTTCTAATTCACGTTCAATTGTTTCATTTTCAACTTCTAAAATAGAAAATTAATTTTTTTTTTTGTTTTTATTTATATGAAATGCAATTATTCAATCAATTAACTTGAGCGAGAATGTTTTTTTTCAGTTGAAACATCATCATTATGATTGCTACCATGTGAATCTTGTCTATTGACTTGAGTTTCATCTTTATGTTTCTAAATAGATAAATAATTTGTTTCTTTCTTTTTTTTATTTTATAAAGAAATAGATTTTATTTAATACCTTTGCACCCATTAAACGAAGAAATTTTTGTTTTCGTTGATCATCACCAAGATCAGCATTTTCCCAATCATTCGCCGTATGAACCTGAACGAGCAATAAGTTTCAATTTGGAAACTACGTTTTGCTGAAAGATTGATATAAAGTGGAATATTCCAAAGCAGAGAAACTTTTTTTTTTTTTTGAAAACTATCTCTTAAATACCTCTTCAGTTGGAACATCATCAGCATCCTTTTCATTGTTATGTTCTTTTTTGGAACGTTTCGGAGACGACGATGATGTTGATGATGATGATGATTTTTTCTTACTTTCTTGTGTCGACATAGTGGTTAAAATGATCGTTTAAAGAAAAATTTTATTTTGATTCTCAGATGGTTGATGAAGTAAGACCAACGAGAAATTATTCTATGAAGATGTCGCTTGTAAACAAAGTCATATCACAAATACTTCAATGTTTCTATTAAATTCTCTCTACGTTAGAACTGATAAGTCTAGAGTATACGTGAGATGCAACATGGATCGCACATCAACACTTCAAGGCGTGGTAATCGCTTTCACTAAAAAGAATTTGGGACAGCAATACGTTCTCTTCACTTCCCTGGAGTAATGAGTTCAGTTTAGGATATTCTGCTAATAGTATGTCAGAGAAACCTGTAGGTAATTAATCTGTTTTAGCACTTGACTATAAAATGTTTCTAAATGTTTAATCTACTAGCTTATTAAAAAATTTTCATAGAATATTATATAGAGACTCGACAGGTACTTGATAAGTACCCATCTGCTAAGACAATTTTCAGCAGGTTGTTCAACCATGATCCTATGATATACTGGTACTAGAGTATCCGAAAAAGTACCCAGCTGACAACTGACCAAGTATACGGGTACCTTGAACTCAGTATATTTACTAATGTAGAAGGATTGATTCATAGTCTCATGATTTTGTTTTTTGTTATCCTGATCAATACATAATTCACATTTTGATTATTTTGGACGCTCTAAAATTTATCGCTGGATCAAGACCTATAGAGTAATCACGAATCAACTTACATCTCTCTAAAACTGACTATATAATGTCTGACGACTTTGATCAAAAGAATTGAAGTTTGATTAACGAATATTTAATAAGATTTTTGTTTGTTATTAGACCTATGCATATGCAAAAGTTCAGGTCGGAATTCCTTTTTTTATGGTTTTCCAGTTAATACCTGAAAATGGATCGAAAAATCAGTAAAACGACCATAACTCACCTGAGAAGGCTCATAGCAATGAGCCCTTTTACACTTTTTCTAGTCTTATCGATGCCTGCTCGTAGGCTCAACATGAACTCAAACGGCAGGTTACAGTTGGGGTAGTTCCATCACAAGAGCAATTTTGTGCTTATAAAACAATTGTAATACTCATTTTACCAAGTCGATCATAATTAAAAAAGATCGATGATAAATTATTCATGTCATCAATGGCAATCAAACCAATTTTACTTTCATTATATAAACGGACTACAAGACATTTTTCTCGATTAATCGATTTCTAACATAATTGTACTAGTTCAATTGAAAACAATTCATACATCATTTCCAACTTTACTTAACTTGGTCACTTTTAACGTAGTAGTAGTTTCATAGTTTCTAAACGTAAGAAATCAAAGAACAAAACACCATGGAATAATCTGCAGTTAATGTTCGTATTTCGACAAAGGTGCTTATCTTCGATTAGGTATGATTAAAATCAATGTACAAGTAAAAGTGGATTGAAATAGTTCATCAAGTAATCTTGAATTACTATAGATATGTAGACTAATAATCGAGGATGAAATAGCGTACATTTGTACTTGAAGTTAATTTTAGTTATATTGAATTACTTTTCTTTATTTGAAACTACTTCAAAGTTTCAAAATATAACCGTGATGGTATATTTTTGATATTGTGATTGTAGGCCATTTTATTTCTGCTAATCAATAATATGACATAAGAAGTTCGGTATACACTAGACTCAGTTAATCGGATACTCAGTCTTCCATCAGTCTAGGTTCAAGTAAATCGATTCTTAATGACCACGCATACACGATATATATCTTTCTTTTTATACAAAGAAAGATAACAGCAACATTCTTTTCATTCTACGATTGAAATAAAAAGACAAGAAAGTAGAAGTGATTCATTCACTAACATAATTTAATACCACAAAAGACGAGACACTTTGATACTCGAACAGTTTTGTATAATGCCTCCTGAAATAAATATCAATGATGTATATCAAACATTTGCAATGACTTCTAACAAACAAAATCAATATCGAATTCGAAAAATGCTTGAAACTGATATTAAAACAGTAGTTAAAATCGAGCAAGTCACATGGCTTGATGAATCATGGTCTTCTCAACAGGTTTTCGATTGTCTTAATCATCCACATTGGCAATGTTGGACACTTGAAAGCACTAACAATGATAATTTAATACTTGGATATTGTTTTCAATATATATACAAACATATATCACATATAGCAAATTTATGTATTGATCCTAATCAACGTGGTCATGGTTTAGGTGAAACACTTTTACGTTACATGATAGATTATTCTTGTCTATTTGGTGCTTCTGTTATTAAACTTAAAGTAAATACATCAAATATACCTGCCTATAGATTATATGATAAATATGGTTTTCGAATAGTTCAATTTCTTCCTCAATATTATTCTAAACATGCAGATGCTTATCAAATGATACTTCGACTATAAGTCATTTTAATGTATAGTAACATTTGTGTCTCACTCTTCATTTATCATTGTAACGTTTTCTTTTCTTTTTTTCGTTCTTTTGTTTATTATAACGAACTAAAAAAAACTGTACATTGGAAAAAATTAACTTAGCTATTGTCAGTATTTACACTAAATATTTTTCGGATGACCATATCTCTAAAAATAATACTCTTGAGAAGATCATTGATATTCACAATGGCATAACGAAAATAGAAATGAATGAATATAAAGATAAAATATATTTGCTTAACATATGCAATATTTCTTTCACTACTGAAATTATAATGATCCTTTAAAATACCATTCTATTTTTGTCTCTATACTATTCATTAATCATAGTTTTTGTTAAATGAGAGAACTTCAATAGTGAATTGTTCATAAAAAATCTGAATAATCGATTAATGTTAATTAAAAGAAGATAAACATCAGATGAAAACTTTCATTAAAACAGAATAATTCAGTTTAAATCGACTTAATCAGTGTATTCAAGTGAAGTTTAATTCGATTTATCAAACTTTTTTCCATTCTTGTGTATTTCATTTATTGCTAATTACGAAACTACTCCAACTTTAAATCGTTGTTTGAACTTAATTATGGCCATTTTACTAAGTTTGAAACCCATATTTAGGTATTTATTACTTACACGAACGCTTAAATAATATTGAAATAGTAAATTAGAACATTATTTTTTGTTGTTTTGTCAATTCTCGCTATTTCCACGAAAAATGAAAATTGAAAAGACATTATTTTTTATTTTGTTTTGTTTTGTTTCTACTCGTTAGCTCAGCCTACAGTTCTAAGAAAAGAATCATCAAAAGTATGATTCTGCATTGTGTTAAGAGAACATAATATAAGACAAGCTGAAAAGACTTTGAGATCTGATCACCTTCTAATCCAAACTCTGGCTACATCACTGATTCACCGGTCTAAAACAGAGCTGACCGTGAATATTCGTCAAGAAGCTCGAGTTAAAGACTATGTTGTGAAAATCATTTGCGTTAATCTAAATCAAACGTCAGAAATATCCTTTCCATCGAAACAAAAGTGGTTTGAATCCACAATAATTTTTATTCGAAAGTGTCATCAATGTAATAAATTCAGGAGAGATTTTTTTGGTATTCGAAGAATATGAGAATCACAATCCATATCACCCATCGATATCCAAAATTCTGAATCGTGTGGAGTTATTGTCGTTACAAATTGAATTCGATGAGCACGTTCATTTCTTGCTATCGGCATCGCTAAGGGCGGTGTTTTATGAGTGATAGTCCATTTCCATGATGTTGTGTTTGATATTGGTTCTCTGGTTAATCTGATTAAATAGGAATGATAGATATTCAATACAAGACCGCCACGAGATGCTGGATGCGGTTGTGATGTGTGAACAAGTCCGAGATAGGTGTTGTTGGTCTCGGAAATGAACATAGATGATCCGCGCATGTTGTCCATTGATGGTATTGTGTGCAGCGAACTGTCGTATAATACGGTACTACCTGTTTCTGGATCCACCCATACAAGTTGTAATGCAGGAGATATTTGATAGACAAATAATAACCAATGAGGATGCTTTTTTGGTTTATCATTCACAGATACAGGTATATGCATCCAATTCTTTTGGGCATATGGTGCGTCAAAAAGTGTCCACAGTTCGATTGTCTCATCAAATTTAATCAAATCACCATCCATATTATTATCAATCTGATGTTGAATTAAAATCACTCTAGTCAAAAACAAGCGTGGTCTCGAATGTCTTTCAGATGATGTAAGTAAATAGAGTCTATTTCCATCAGTAATCCATCTAGGATCTTCGTGACCACGATGATATGCATTAGGATTGTAATCAAATGAATCTGGAAGTTGCTGATGTACGAGAACTATAACTTGTTTCTTCGATTTTATTATCAATTCATTAGGATTAAATGAACCAATGACGACATTACTAATAGCTGGTTTAAAGAACAATCGAGCTTAAGTAATTAATGTGCCAATCATATCGCCACAGTTTTGTCGAGTAGATTCACGTACAGCAATCAAATATCGATGTGAATTTAAAGGAAATATAGATGGATTCCAATAAGAACATCCAAGAATAGCACCATCATTACTACAGTAACTTTGAATCTTACTTGTGTTCGTCATTGACAATATATCATTTCTTCTATAATTCTTGTAATGTTCAAAATGAATTCTATGTACCGCTGACACTAGACTTGACAGTGGTGTTTGCAGTCGATAATTCATTGCACCATATAGATAAAATATAGAAGATGAGCCAATGACACCCAATAAAATAAAGATAAAAATACAAGCTTGCTTTCGCTTATTCACTATGTTTCTCAGCAAACGACGAGATATTTCAAAAACATGTTGTGCTAATGCATCCATATTGTTCTCCTGAATTTGAAATTCATCCAAAGAGAGCAAACTTGAATTGATCGAGAAACTACATTCGAAGAATAAAAAATGGTTTTTTTTACGAAATTCAAAAAGGTTCTTCAGTGTATTCACAGAGAGCAACTCGTTTTTATCAATTCTGTATAAGAGAAAAAAAGCTTCGTACCAAGCTTTTTCCCTAACTAAAAAACAGAAAGTTCTCATAACTATACTCACATTTGTGGTGACCGTTCACTTCGTCGCACGACACTTCGTCGCACGACACTTCGCCGCAATCATTTCGTCGTACTATCACTTCGTCGCAGAAAAAAAAATTCTTTCGTTCTGTTCGTCACAGAGTAATTACTCTCGTTCTCTTCCTTTCTACTTGTTGTATCTCACTTAATTAATGAATTTTTTTGTACAACCAATTGAAATAAAATAAATGAAAAATTCTATGAAATATGTACAATTAAAATAGACAAATGATAACTCCAACAATAATAACTCTAATTGAGAAAGCGGATCAAAACGAATACTCATATATAATCGCAACAGGTCTAAAGTGAACGATGAATAATTAGATTTGTTACTCGGTTAATCAGTTTTAACATAATCCAGGCTAAAGATAAATAATAAAATAATATTCTTAAATATGAAGCCAGAAAAAAAATACATTTCATTTTTCAATATCAACTCTCGCTGCGAACGACTCTTTAATCAAAATGTCTCAAATCGAAAAACTTCTTTCTGTAAAAGGAAAACCAATGATTCATCACGAAGGTTACATCTATACTGTGGAACGTACAACATCGACGAAATTGGTCTTTCGTTGTCAGAATCGAGATAGTAAAGGTAAGTTAACATTTACTATCAGTCAATTAAAACAAAAATTATTGATCTATTAAGCTCGATGTCATACCAATTTATCTATGGACATATTTCTCTCACAACCAACAGCCCACTATCATGCTCCTCAACCTGATCGTATGCCTGCTATTCAATTAAAAAATGAAATTAAAGCTCGTGCCGTAACAACAGATGAATCAACCAGCTCCATTATTCATTCTGCTTTGCGTACGTATCCATTGAGTGCTGCTGATGAACTTCCAAAAAATGAAGCACTTATGCTAATAATTCGACGACAGCGTACTGTTGAAACAGTCGATGCCGATGGTTGTTTACCAGAAAAATTAAGAAAGACGTATCGCGATGAAGACTTCATCTTGCACGAAGACAAAAATTTAATTATCTTTACAACAACAAAAAAATTTATCGATTCTGAAGCAAAATAAACATTGGTTCGCTGATGGAACATTCAAAGTAAGCTATCAATTAAAAGTTTATATCTTTTTTTTCTAATTTTCTTTGACGTAGGTGTGTCCTGATGATTATTATCAATTATTCACGTTACACGCGATGATGACTAATGCAATTATCCCTTTCGTCTATGGATTATTAATTGGTAAAAGTGCTCAAGATTACAATTCATTCTTCGATAAAGTATTAGTACAGACAATTTTCAACCTGAATCAATTATGACTGATTTCGAAACTGGTACAATCAAATCCGTTAGAGAAATGTTGCCAAACGTTTTACATAAAGGTATTTTGTAATATTGTCAAAAAACAAGTAATCAAAATGTTTGTTATAGGATGTTTCTTTCATTTTTCGCAAGCGATATGACGGCAAGTTCAAGGAAAAGGATTGGTAACAAAATATAGAAAAGATGAGTACTTTCGTTTAAATGTAAAAAAATTGATTGCTCTTGCC